GTGCATTAAACTGGAAAAATATAATTGCTTAGTGCAGCGTTTCTCAAACTATGGTCCACGGACCACAAGTGGTCCTTGAGGGGTGCCCTTGTGGTCCTTCAAAAAAGACAGAAGAAAAAATAAAATTCAAATGAATCTGAAATCTGAAAATCTCGGAGTTTGGAAATTACACATGGCAATCGTCTTTCACTTTTTCTCCCAGTACTGACATTTTATGAAATTTATTACCCTACCCACCTACCGACTACCCACTCTACTCTCAGCAACAAAAGAGGGATTTAAAGCACTATGACTGTGGTGCCTCTCGCCATCTTCTCCCTGTACATCTGGCGCCACACCTGCAACCCAGCCAGGTACCACCTGAATTCATAACAAAGCGCTGTGACCGTGGTGCCTCTCACCATCTTCTCCCTGTACATCTGGTGCTGCGCCTGTAACTCAGTCAGCGACCGCCCAAATTCATAACAAAGCGCTATGACTGTGGTGCCTCTCGCCATCTTCTCCCTGTACATCTGGCGCCATGCCTGTAACCCAGCCAGGGACCACCCGAATTCATAACAAAGCGCTATGGTCGTGATGCCTCTTGCCATCTTCTCCCTGTACATCTGGCACCGCGCCTGTAACCCACCCAGGGACCACCTGAATTCATAACAAAGCACTGTGACCATGGTGCCTCTCGCCATCTTTTCCTTGTACATCTGGAGCCGCGCCTGTAACCCAGCCAGGGACCACCCAAATTCACAACAAAGCACTATGACCGTGGTGCTTCTTGCAATCTTTTCCCTGTACATCTGGCACCGCGCCTGTAACCCAGCCAGGGCCCACCTGAATTCATAACAGTGGACCAAAGTACCAGACCTTCTTTCATGTATTTATGACCTTTTAATAGTTTTGCAGACACCCAGTCTGAGCTATCTGCACATTGTAATGGTCACATATGTCGTACACCAATAGCAGAATGTGCCAAATTTCATCTTTACTTGTTGAAAATTGGGCATGTTCCTGCATTAATTTTTTTAATTTCTGTTTTTCCAGATGATGATATGAGAAATTTTAGACTCCACTAGTTTTAAAATCTGGGCGAATCATATCCAGAAATTCAAATTACAATACTTTTCTAATTCTATTTTTTGTAGCCAATCACAAGTAACTTATAACAAATTCTGTGCATTGTTGATTCGTCGCTTGTCTGTTAGCAGTTATATGTTTAAAATCCTTCTTATGTGGTACACGCTAGTAGCTGTCTGTGTTAAATAGTGCCCATTATACATAATGGAAAGAAAGGAACGTGATGATGCTTCATTTAGGCAGTGCTGATGGTTCAGAAGATGTGTGTGAAGATATTAATATCAGTGATTCTAGTGTCATTAAAGAAATATCTAGTGGTAGCTGTTCAAAGAAAAAATACTTTCATAAATATGACAAGAGTTATTTGGAACTTGGATTTACTTGGTGTGGCAATGAGAGTGAACCAAAACCTCGGTGCGTTGTTTGTTATGAAGTGCTTTCAAAGAAGTGCATGAAACCCACGAAATTGAAACGGCACTTAGAGACAAAACACACAAGTGTAAAAAGCAAACCTGTCAAATTTTTTCAACGATGTGTTGAAAAAATGAATAAAGAAATGAAAGTTGTTTCTAATGTAGGTTCGGCAACTAAGAAGGCCTTAGAAACTTCCTATATTACAAGTCTTTATATCGCAAAGAGCGACTCACCTCATTCTATAGGTGAGACCTTAATACTTCCAGTTGCAAAAGATATAGTTAAAACAATGGTTAGTGAAAAATTATCTAAGGACATTGATTTAATACCACTCTCGAATGATACAGTTACACGCCGAAATAATGACATGGCTAATAACATAGAATCTGAACTTATCAGTAGAATAAAAGAAAGTCTATTTTTTCACTTCAGATAGAAGAGACAACAGACGTTTCGAATGATGCACGGTTGATTTGTTTTATCAGGTATGAGTTTAACATTGCCATTCATGAAGATATGTAATTTTTCAGAGACTTTGACAACTCGTACAACTGGAGAACAAATTTTTAAAGTTCTTAATGAGTACATGCAAGAGCATGAAATTGATTGGAAAAAATGTGTAGGTTTTTGTTCGGATGGGGCTCGTGCGCTCACCGGTGGGCATAGTGGTGTTGTAGCTAAAATCAGAGATGTGGCTCCTGATGTTGCCTGGACCCACTGTTTCATTTACAGAGAAGACTTGGTGGCCAAAGGTATGTCATCTAAATTAAAAACCATGATAGAAGACAGCATTAAGATAATCAACTTTATTAAGGCAAGGCCTCTGAATAGCAGAATATTTTCATTACTTGGTGAAGACATGGGTAGTGAGCACAAACAGCTTCTTCTCCATTCTGAAGTTCGCTGGCTTCCATGGGGTAAGGTACTCATAAGGATCTTTGAATTAAGACAGGAAGTCCTGTTATTTGTAAACGAAATTAACAAAGATTTTACACCATTTCTTGCTGATAGTATGTAGGTAGGCTGAAAAGTAATGCACACATGCTTGCAGAGTGCGAACGAAATGACCTTCAGAAGCGCGTCAGGTGGCATGTGGAAGTAACATTCCCCCTCAATATGCATGCGCAGGTTTGAGGTCGTTGCGTTCATCCAGTGTATTATGAGAAGCAGAAGTATGGAGACATGTTCTATTGCTATGTCAACGCGAGTTAAACAGCGTGCTGTTATCGAATTTTTAACTGCTGAAAAAATGACTCCTACTGAGATTCATCGTCGTTTAAAGGCTGTTTATGGTGACAATGCTGTTGATAGGCCTAATGTAAATCGATGGGCAATAAAATTTCGTGGTTGCGAGCCTGGAAAAGCCATAATTGTTGATGAAACACGCAGCGGACATCCGATCACTGCCACATACGATAATCATTGCAAACTCGTCGACGATTTGATTCAAAATGACCGGCGAATCACTCAAAAGCGTATTGCATACCATATTGGAATATCCAAGGAATGTGTCGGCTTCATTATTGAACAATTGGGATACCGTAAAATCTGTGCACGATGGGTACCATGCTGTCTCACAGACAAGAACAAACAGCATCGACTGGAATGCCGCGAGCAACTTTTGCAGCACTACCGTGACGAAGGAGACGACTTTCTTTTGAATATTGTGACAGGGGACGAGTCATGGGTCCATTGTTACGACCCGGAAGAGAAAAGCCAGAGCGCTGAATATCGACATCCGTCTTCTCCACAGGCGAAAAAGTTCAAAACACAACCATCCGCCAAAAAACTTCTTTTGACTGTGTTTTGGGATGCTCACCGAGTTTATGTGACCGATTTTCTGGAATGAGGGGCAATGGTAAATTCTTCTCAGTACATAGACTCTAAAACACCTCTTATGTCGAGTTTGTTGTGTTAGAGGCAGCCTGGCGCCAATAATCTTGCAACATGACAACGCTTGTCCACACACCTTGCGTGCAACTGAAGAGGCTCTGCGAAACCTGAAGTTTGAACCGATTCCACACCCTCCTTATTCCCCCGATCTTGCGCCTTGCGATTTTTATTTTTTCCTCTACTCAAGAGAGACCTCAAGGGTAATCATTACATCTTGGACGATGAGGTGAAGGCAGCTGTCAAATCCTGGATTCGAGAAAAGTCAGAAGAATTTTTCAGTGATGGAATGAAAAAACTTGTTACACGTTGGGAGACATGTGTTAGCCTTAACGGTGACTATGTTGAAAAATAAATATATGCTTTTGAAACTTAAGAATTGTACTTTAATGTACTTTTTGCCTGATCTTGCTATTAGTTTTTGTTCACGCTCTACAAGCATGTGTGCATTACTTTCCAGCCTACCCACGTACATTCTTTCAGATGTATTCTCAAAACTAAACGAACTAAATCTCTCTCTACAAGGTAATTCTTTGACTGTTCTCAATGCCCATGATAAAATAAGAGGGTTTGAGAGGAAACTTGGTTTGTGGGTCAGCTGTGTAAAACAGAGGAATTTTTCACCATTTCCAGCCCTAGAGTCCTTTTTAGTTGAAAATGATCACGTTATTGAAAAAGAAATATGTAATGACATATGTTTGCATCTCAAAACTCTGAGATCACAATTTGAAACTTATTTTCCAAGTAAATATGATGAATTTTCATGGGTTCGTGGTCCTTTCCATTGCAATATTGAAAATAACAAACCTCCATTGAATGAAAGAGAACAGTTAATTGAACTCTCAAATGACGCCAGACTTCAAATGAAATTCCACGCAGAAGGTATGGTTAATTTCTGGACCTCATCACCAGTGAAAAGAGAATATAGTGAACTGTACAATGGTGCTTTATAAAGATTATAATCCAGTTTGCTTCTATGTATCTGTGTGAGAACGGGTTTTTTTCATCATTAACTCAAATAAAAACAAAGTACCGAAATTGACTTGATGTATGTGACGATATCCGACTTAAGCTTACCAGCACACATCAAAATATAGAACAACTGTGCAAGAATCAGCAGGCTCACCCATCTCATTAATGTGAGTACCAACATTTATATATTTTTTAGTTAATAAGTTATCCAAATTCTAATAGCCTTGAATTATTAAAAAACGAAAATGAATTTTCTTCTATCAACTTAATTACTTAATAATATAAAATTGATTGAATTAAATGAGTTTTAATGAATTAAATCTATTTTAAAATATAAGTATACTGGTATTAAAATATGGTAAAAGAATGATAAATTTGCTTTCGAAGGGAACAAGAGTAAGGTGGTCTGCAGAACTGTTCTGACTTATAAAAGTTGTCCCCACTTCAAAAAAGTTTGACAAAAGCTGGCTTAGTGTGATGTGCACAACATCTCAGTCTCCCTGTAGTAAACACCTCTGTTGAAAACAGGATATGAATTAATCACACTATTTACAGATTAAAGATTAATACTCTGTTTCAAAATGTTAATTCACATGTGAGCAAAACATACCACCAAATTAGTAGGAACAAGTTCTGATAATAATCCCATTACTCACATCAAAGAGATTAGGAAATGCTCTTTCAGCTCATAGATCCCAGCTGAAGAGACAGTAATCTGAGCCCTAGAGATCCCAACTGAACAAGTGATGCTTCACCAACATGTCTCGGACTCCATCCTTGAGTGGTTGTGACTGTTCCTTTCTTGCTGGCAATTCCCAGTCAGGATTCAGGTTGAATGCAAACTGAGAGAGGACCCGAAGTTCACATTTAATCTGTACCCACCCTGGACTGCACACAAAGCTCCATGGCTGATACCTGCAACAACCAAAGGCAACAAACTGAAATCCTGCTGCAACCTTATATAGCATTACAGATATTAGCAAACTGAATTTTTAACACATTCACATACTGCATATGAAGGTTGGAACTTCAATGGCAGCAACTATTTATTTAAAACTGATACAAAAGAGATCCATGTCTCGAAGTTTTACTGTTCTTCAATGTAGTCACCAGCATTGTGTACAGCCCATTGCCAGCAATGTGGAAGTCGTAGGGTACCTTTAGCAGCGTCAGTTGTGTTGATAGTTTGAATGGAGCGGTCTACTGCCTGAAGAATCTCTGGAACAGTTCTGAAGCAAATGCCATGACGTGGTTCCTTCATCTTAGGAATCTAGTCAAAGTCACAAGGGCTTTAGTCCAGGCAGTATGGTGAATGGAACAGCATTTCCCAGCCCCATTGAACAAACAAATCAGCCACAGCTTGAGCTGCATGTGGCCAAGCATTGTCCTGCAAAATGATGGGTAGGTTCTGCAGAAAGTGTCACCACTTCTTTCTCAAAGGTGGTTGCAGGTTGTGTTCCAAAAATGAACAGTAATACTGCGCATTGATGGTCTACTGTCGGGGAACGGTATGCGTTAGGATAACACCATCACAGTCGTACACGAGAATCACCATGACTTTCACATTGCTGGGGTTCTGACAAACTTTTGATTTTCGTGGTGACCCATAATGACACCATTCGTTTGATTGGCGTTTCATTTGTGGCTTGTACGATTTGGCCCATGTCTCATCCAGCATAATGATACAGGTTAAGTAAGCCTCTCCTTCGAGCTCATAGCGCTCCAAGTGGTTACGAGCAGTGTCGTATTGTAGCCATTTCTGCATTTCCATCAAATCATGCGGAACACATTGTGATGCAATTTTTCTCATGCCCAGGTGTTCCCTCAGAATGTGAAGCACAGTCGTATGCGCTAATCCTGTCTCTCGGACCAGCTCACGATCGTATGGCATCAATCACTCTCCAGTAACGTGGACACTAGGATGACCTGGCCGACGCATGTCTGCCACATTTTGGCGTTCCTCGTTGAAGGCTTTTACCCACCTTGCCACTGTTCTGTAAGGCAATGCAGATTCCCCGCAAGCCTTCTGAAGACCCTGATGACACTGTCATGCTGTACGGCCTCTGGCACATTCAATCTTTATCAAACTCCAGTGTCCCAGTTGCGAAAACATCGTGACAACACTACATTAGACCACCAGCTAATATGACGCTCTGTTTGTCTCATCACTGCGCATGCGCATGATGTGGGAAGGGAGAGTCAATTTGCTCTGAGGTAAGGTAGGTATGTAACTAACGCGTGGTATAAGCGACATTATTTGGTTCCGTTGCATGGCGTCTCTACAGCAGTGTTGCCACTATTAAAGTTCCAACCCTTGTACAAAAGAAATCATCCTTCCCATACCTACCTAAAGTAAATGTCTTTCTAAGCACCAGGACCAACATAAAGGTTGAGTACTAGCAGTTCAGCATGTCACTTTGGTGGTAGAATGTATTTTATTTGAAAGCATTCGAACTGAATGTCTGACTGATTTCACCAACTACCAATAAAACCTCCGTCGAGTGTAACAATATATATTCTTGTCACCATTTCCTCACATTTGCCTTACATGTTTCGGCTCACAAAGAGCCATCATCAGAGGCATCCACAACAAAAATATGGAAACACTTGCACTGCTCAACAATCACAATATACAGTTTTTTATGGAAGATGTTACACGTATCGGAGCGTAAAACACAACAACATCTAGTACCCCGAGTGCGGGTATCCCACTTGCATTTAAAAAATAACCCACAAAGCGGGTCGTTTATGTTAAAATTAAAGTTAAAACCGTCCAAGTAAAATATTCAGGTTCCTCTTAGTGGATTGTCCCAATGGGGGAGGCGTCAGCACGAGGTTGCGTGGGCTTGTGGTCGGCTGTGTCCGACGCGTAGTGTATTGTGTAGTGTAGTGTGTAGTTGGTGATTGATAGTGTAACGGACCAAAATGAAACAATTCAAAATGACTGATTTCAGTTTCATGTGTTTCTTTCCTGGTCCCTCAATGTGAATCTCAAGATAGTATTTCAGACAGACTAAAACTACTTCATTCCAAATCCCAACAAAAGTAAAAACAGAATAAAAGGGTAAAGTAGGAAAGATGTGGGACTGCTGGAGCAAATATGCTTGACAGACTACATACATACACATTTCTAGCATTTGGCAAATAATTGTCTGTATTTGGTTTTGTGCATTGAACAAACTCACAATTTAGGTTTGAGGTTTTCAAGGTGGTGACTATGATGAATGCCATCTTCTGGGAAGTGGTGCTGTGTAGATCTTCTTGTCTGCAGCCACCTACTCAAGCTGGTTTCTCACTTGCAGAGTTTTCTACTCTAAAGATGGAGGCGACAAATTCCCCCGAAAAATTGCTTCACACAAGATCTACATGGCGCCACATTGAAGAAGATAGAATTCTTCACAAATAAGGGTTTACTGTATATGAATAATCTGGAGCCAAAGGTAGTCATACTGTCATGGGTATGTGGCTAAGCACAGAGTTCAGGCTGATAACTAAATTTATTGGACACTTACTCCTCTTAACTACAAATATTTACAATACATTTATAGTTCTTTACAATCTTCAAATAACTACAGCACTTCCTATTTCTAGTACAGCATATTTTCATGTACCTGTTGCTTTTGTTAAATATACAGGGTGTTTCAAAAAGAGCTTTACAACTTTGAAAGCTTATATAAATTTATACATAGGACATACAAAATGTTTTGAACCATCATAATGTAGCAAAACACACCGAGTTTCATGCACGTGGTACTGTAGTACCCAATACCGCCACCGCGATTGCTCCTGCAGTTGAAATCAAGATGGCTACTTTCACAGGTGCAGAGCATGCTCGTTGTGTGTTCTGGTTCGAAGAAACAAAGTCTGCTACACAAGTTCAAAGGAAATTTCACACTCAGTATCACAAGGAACCTCCCAGTAGGCCTACAATTTACTCCTGACACAAGAATTTTGTTCACACCGGATGTTCTGTGTGCCATGCCAAGCCACCCAGTCGGCCATGTGTTTCTGACTCTACAGTGGAACAGATTATGGAGAGCTTAGTTCGAAGTCCATGAAAGTCAACGCTACGTGCGTCTCAGGAAACTGATATTCCAAATGTTACTGTGTGGTGAGTGTTATGAAAACGTTTACACTTAAAAGCGTACAAACTGTCCATCGTTCAACACCTTATGGATGCAGATAAGGTAGTTCGTAAGGAATTCTGGATGGAAATGTTTCATCAGATACAAGACGATGAGAAGCTTCTGGACTCCATAATTTTCAGTGTCAGTGGTAAGGTCAATACCCACAATTGCAGGATCTGCGGCAGCGAAAATGCACGTGTCTCCCTGGAACATGTTCGTGATAGCCCAAAGGTGAACATGTTTTGCGCTCTCAGCAAAGAAAGAGTGTACGGCCCATTCTTCTTCATGGAGACGACCATTACCGGTATCGTATATCTGGACATGCTCCAAGAGTTCCTCATTCCACAGTTAGACGAAGATGACCAAGAAGAATGAATTCACTTCCAGCAAGACGGCGTACCCCTCATTACCTTGGAGAAGTTTGCGAGTACCTCAACACCTGCTTCCCAGGTCGGTGGATTGGTAGAGCGGCGCCGATAGCATTGCCACCTTGTTCCCTGTATCTTACTCCCCGGGATTTTTTCTTATGGGGATTCATTAAAGATTGAGTGTTCATACCACTTTTGCCTGCAATTGTCATGGCCACCTTGTTCCCTGGATCTTACTCCCCTGGATTTTTTCTTATGGGGATTCGTTAAAGATTGAGTGTTCATACCACCTTTGCCTGCAATTGTCGTTGAGCTCCGAAACTGAATTACTGCCTCAGTTGCAGAAGTGACGCCAGAGATGCTACGTAGCGTGTGGCAAGAGACTGACTATAGGTAGGATGTCTGCCGCATTACCAATGGAAGTCACATTGAACCATAACTATCCGAGGTAAAACTTGGTGTGTTTTGCTACATTATGACAGATCAAAATGTTGTGTATGTCCTCTGTATAAATTTATATAAGCTTTCAAAGTTGTAGAGCTCTTTTTGAAACACCCTGTATTTTAGAAATTAACTGACTTTATTAAATGAAACCCACAGAATAGAAACATTTTCATTCCACCTGTTGTAAATGACAGAGCCAGCCTCCAAAATTCTATTTTATGTACACAACAGAAATAATGATAATGAATAAAATGTCAAGTCTGTTATGGAAATACTGGTGGAAAGTGATCAGACAATGGTGTTTGGATTAACAAAATTACTTTCTTGATTTTGCAATTAAGGCAGATTCCTTTACAAAAAAATGGTGTATAGAAGAGTTCCCAGACTGTTATTGTTGCAACTGCATGGTGAAAGATAACAGGGGAGGTCAAGGTCACAATTCCACAAGCCTATTGCATCAGTCTTCCATGTCACATCACACTGTGAACATGCACTGTTTTTATACAAGTGCTTTTTCGACTTCATGTTTCATTTTGTTTACGATGAATAGCAAAATCGAGCAACATGTCTGCATCAAGTTTTGCGTGAAGCTCAGTACATCTGCCACCAAATCCCTTTAAATGCTTCATGAGTCTTTTGGAGAACATTCTTTAAGCCAGACAGCGGTTTTTGAATGGTAGTCATGTTTCAAAGCCTATCAAGTGCCAGCTGAAGATGACGAATGTTCAGCTCGACCAAGCACCAGCAAAGTGACAGAAAATTTTTTAAAAAATTTGAGAACTCATCCACAAAGACCGTCACCGTACAATCCATGAACTCACAGACATGGTTGGGCTCAGTTATGGAGTTTGCCAGGAGATCTTAACAGAAAATTTGAACATGCACCATGTTGCTGTGAAGTCTGTTCCCTGACCCCTAACAAATGATTAAAAGGAGTGGCACATAAACATGTGTCTTGAGCTATGAGAGAAAGCTAATGAGGATCAAACTTTTACTCATATCTCTAGGATCATAACAGGTGAAAAAGTTGGATTTACAGTTATGATCCAGAAACAAAACAACAATCATCACAATAGAAGAGGCCACAATCACCAAGAGCAAATTTGTTCCTCCTAACACTATGGTCAACTCTGACTTTTACTGTGATGTTTTGAGATGTCTGAGAGAAAATGTGTGATGACAAAGACTGGAACTTTAACTCAACCACAACTGGCTCCTTCATCACAACGTGCCCACCCACACGCCCCTGAAAACCACAGAGTTTGTAACTAACAACAACATGGTTATTGTGTAAGATTTGAGCTTTTCACGGTGGTCACTATGAAGAAGGCTGTCTTCTTGGATGTGGCGCCATGTAGAAAATGTGTTAACTGACGTTTCGGAGGAATGTATCACCTCCATCTTCAGGGTAGAAAACAAGAAGAAATCAGCGAGTGAACTAGCTAGAGCAGGTGCAACAGAATGAGTCCAATCAAGTAAACACAGCTGTATAAGAGAAGGAGAGGGGTCTGGTGGAATGGCCAGTAGGCAGTGGGCCAGAGATGGTATAGAGTATGTGTCAGGTCCGTCACAGCCCCCAAGCTACAGGGTTAATGCCCTCCATTTAACCTTCCCTTCTCTCGCCCTAACACATACTCTATACCAGCTCTGGCCCACTACCTGCTGGCCATTCCACCAGACCCTTCCCCTCCCCCTCTACTATTTCCCCATGTAGCCACACTCCTTCTCTCCTTCTTTTATACAGCTGTGTTTACTCGACTTGACTCAGTCTGTTGCACCTGCTCTAGCTGATTTGCTCACAGATTTCTTCTTGTCTTCTACCCTGAAGATGGATGCAATACGTACCTCCGAAACGTCGGTTAACACAATTTCTACATGGCGCCACATCCCAGAAGACGGCTTTCAACATGGTTATTGTTCCCCATCCTCCCTACTTGCCAGACTTAGCCCTCTGTGATTTTGCTTTGTTTCCCAATAAAACTGAAGGGACAACATTTTGAAACAGTGTCTGACATCCAAAGGGTATCCCAAGCAGTACTCGACACCATTAAGGAAAATGACTTCCACAGTGCCTTTGAAGTGTGGAAAAAACAATGGATTGATGTGTACATTCCCAAGGAGACTATTTTGAAGGAGATGGCAGCCAAACTTGAGTAAGTTAAGCAAGCATTTCTTATTTGACCTAGTCTGGGAAATTTCCAATAACACCTCACTAATAGCAAACAAAAGATGAAAATTCAGAACAAACACACTCAACAATATGATAAAGAACTAACCATTTCTGAACTACTTCTACACAGGAACAAAGAACCTCAAGCCAGAGATGAAGCACTTGCTCATTTAGTCCCAAACACATCAAGCTGCGTAGTTTGACATCCATCTGTGCATGTGCATTATCGTGTGACAGGTTGATGGCTTGTACACACCTGTACAAAAGCTAAAATAACAGAATTAAAAACAATCAAAGGATTACATATGGTCATTCCATGTTAGATCAACATAACAGCTGACACGCCCACCTTGGATTTAAATGAAATTTTGCAAGCCAACAGATTTTGAGGAGTAAATGTTAAATATGATTTTCTTTCACTTCCTGCATAAATTAATTTTGAAGTTGCTGCATTCTGAAAATGAAGTTCTCCTTAACTTCTCCTGCACTCTCATTCACTAATGCTTATAACTTTGGTTCTAATTAGGATACCAAGGTCATTCTTGTATCAATTTAAGGCTCTTAAGCGGGGCTTTCATTTGGCATGCCACTCACAATATTTTGGGGCATGCAGTAGCATAGTTGGTTGAGGCACTATGCTACAAGCTGGAAGGTCGTGGGTTCATTTCCTGATGTAACTGGATTTTTCAATCGACCTAATCCTTCCACACTATGGGCCTGGGTTTGACAAAGCCTCTAACAGAAATGAGTACTATGAATCTTCCTGCTGGTAAAGGGCACATTATTTTGGACCCGACCTAAGACTTAATTTAAGAAAAGCATACAGCTACAGTTATTTCAGAAACATTTTGTGACACTCTAAACATATTTTTGTAAGTTTTCATGCTGGTACATGTATGAGCTGATGAAATATACACTTATAATTACAGATTAGATACATGCTGTTGGTCAGCTGGATTAGAGATTACACTAAGCTACATAGGTACAACATTAATAAGAAAGGTAAACAAGAAACCTGGAATGTTTATTCACTGAAATATTAAAATTACTTTTTCATAAGAAATACAACCTGTACAAATACCTATTTACAATGCATGAACAGTGGTTTCTAGTTTCTCAGTAGTGCAAAAGGATTCTTTTCCACTGATAATGTACATGAAACCCATTACAGTTTCTGGAGCCACTTTTTAAGAATTTCTGAAGCTGGAGCCAACAGAATATCCAGGAGTGAAGGATACATGAAGGATATACTGGGGCCAAAGAGATGCAAAACATTATTTCAGTTTTACTGTCATTCACTTGTAGCACACATGCAAGCTGCAGATCCTCTAATGTCTTCCATATGATACTCTTAATCTTGCAAGTGTACCATATGTGTAGTGTTACATATAGTTACTTCTGAAAAGAATTCTCTCAAAATTCAGATTTTTTTTAAGGCAGGAATGATAATATGCATTTTTTGAGTACCTGGAGCTTTCCCGGACCTCTCTTTGGGCATAATTGCTTTTTTTGCTGTTGTCTTCAACACTATAACACTCAAAGGTGATAGGTGGAATTTTTACAGCAGTCCAAACAGTGTCTTAGTGTCATAATCTTCTCCTCATAAGGGTTCTGCAAACTCACATTTCTTGCTAGCCTTTTATTTGTTCCTCCAGTGCCATCACATGCAACTCTGGCATATAATGTTGCAAAGAAGTGCTCAGCATACATACCAAAATCATCTTTATGATAGCAGAAGTTGATGAAACTTCCTTACTGTACACTGCTAAGCAGTGCCACCAGAAAAATTGTAAATCTTAGCCAAATCATTCAATTTACCAGAAAGAAATCTGCATAATTTGTTTCAAAGAAATGTGTAACTACATTGTCAAGTTTTAAACAATATGATCTAGCAGCAATGCTGAAATGCTCTATAATTTCACTTTGTGAATAATAAGCCACAGATGGATGAAGAGTTGTCCTATCATTGTTTGAGTGAAAACCTAGTGTTTTACCTCGTATGATGAATCCTCAGAGTTCTTACAAAAATCACAAATAACAGCAATTTCTCCAGTTTTAAGTTTTAACTTAATTTCTTAAAGAAACATGATTGTTGTTGTGCCATTAAAAAGTGACGAAGCAAGATATCTCAACAAAAGACTTAAGAAAGTCATAGCAAGATCTGTCAGAAGTCATCCACAGTCTATATATTATGTTGGCTATGTTGCTATCTTCAAATCTCTGTTCAGTATATCTGATTAGGTTCAGTCTCTGGACACATCTCACAGTCTCCTGGATAGTATCTTACATCTGGCACACTGCAAATGATTATGGGCAAATCACTATTTTAGGGTTTTTATTTGCCTTTCAGTCTAATCATACAAATTTGCACCTGAAATCTTAAGTTTCACATTCTGATGGCTGGTACTCATACAAACTGCACATGTACCACTTGCTCCAGCTAACACAGCTTTTTGGCAAGAACTCTGCAACTTCAAGATTCTGTACCTTAAAACTTACATAGGCTCCTTTTAGGTTACATAACATCAGTCATTTCTGAAGACGTATCTCCTTGCCTTCTGAGTTGACAGAAACATAACAGTTTGTTCCTAACATGTGTAACCCCTCATTTGATATAGATGTTATTTGTATCCATATTAATCATATAACCTTTAAGAGACGAGCGATGCCATATGGCGTCATTAAAATAAAGTCAAGGGGACGAATGACGCCATATTTCGTCACACAGTCCACGCGTGCGGCCGGCTTTTTAAAATCTAATTTTAAGTTATAAATTCTTGTTCTACTTAAATGATTTTTGGACACCAGCTTTATAAGTTGTCTGTCTTCCCACCTGCGTCATCTAACGGAATGTTGCCTTCGTGTGGAATTCTTGGAATCATCCAGAAAAGCAGAGTCCGACGTCACACTTCACGCACTTTGTCCGGACGGTTCTTCGTTTCCCACGCGAAAAGCACACGCGACACCTAAATTGCGAAGTAGAGGAAGTCGGCCAGTGATATGGTTTGCCTCCTCTAATCGAGATATCTCCAATGAAACGGCAGGGGTTCGACCCCTGGTCCGTTGAGGTCGAGATGGACCCCTTCCAGCATGTTCCACACAAGAGCGAGACGAAATTCTCTGTGTGACAACAAGATGTAACTGTTCAGATCCAGGAGATGGAAAAATAGTTTATTTGTCCATTTCCAGGTTCGACGACAGATGCTATAATTGTTTGCCACAGTTTGCCCACAGTTCCACCTGAATAATTATTCACACTCCTCTTGCCATGCTGGTGTGGTGGTCCCCAGGTTGCCGACCAAGATGATGGTTCTTTGTCGAAATCAATTTATGATTCACTTTCCTCAACGCCACTCTCAGAATTGTCTTTACAACAATCCGATTCGGAGTCATTTATGAGCTGAAATATGTCCCAGTCTTCCAAACGAGACCACGCAATGGTTGGTTGCTTTACAACTTCGCAGAATGCTAACCTTGAGTGTTCTGATGTGGTGGGCTGATATACGGACGCTAACCTTGAGAGTTCTTATACAGTAGCCTACCAGGTCAGAACAGAACACTCGTTGTGTAGCTATAAGCATAAGCGATAATATAAACAATCAGGGTTCTTATAAACGGATACGCGCCCACATCTCTGCATACCGAAAGAACGTTCGTGAATTAACATTGATACAGGCTAGCCTAAATCAGGGGTAGCTAAGATTTCGCTGTGTTGCCACATCAGCTGCATTCATACTTGCAAGAACTGTATGAATTCTTGTAGACAGATGACAAATTGGGGCATATTTCAGTTGGAATCAGTCTAAAAATTTTTTACATATTTTATAAAGTCTGTAAATTACAATATCGGATTCTATATTCTTTCTAGAAACAAGCAGCGTTTATTTGGTTCGTTTATCATAAAAATTGTAGAAATCACAGCAATTTTAGTAAATGATTACAATTTTTATTGCTTTATAATCGAGGGCATTTAAATTAAATCAGTCCCGCAGCCATTACCGGAATTTAAAGGGCC